ATATATTTACAGAGGACATATAAAAATGTATTTTTAATTGCATATAACATATATATATATATACATGTATATATAGTGAGAAGTCAACATGCTGAATTAATGCCAAATTTTTTAGTCTTTGACTTTGAATTATCAAATTAATAAATACTAATATATATTTATTTCATTGTTGGTTGACTTTTATTTTCTTAAGCCATGTATAACGTTTCTTTATTTTTCAAATAAAAAATATATTAATATTAATTATAAATATATATATATAACAAAATTAATATTATAATACAGATAATAATTAATTATTTAAAACTTTTAACTATAATTTTTATATATACATATATATATAAGTAATTTGCATTTTTTATATTTATTACACACGTTTTAATTATTTAAAAAATAAAATAAAATAAATCGTTAAATCTTTACATGGATGAATCAGGTTTCAGCCGTTGATGGGCTGGACCCCACTGGACCCCACCACGCCCCCAGCCCGTACTGAGACGTTTACTTTTCCGTCAATTACAACAGCTCTTTTGCCGTTTTCCAAGAAAGTCAAAAGTCAAAAAGCCGGCCATCCAATTAAATTTTAATTAACGAAAAACGTTTAAGACATTTAAATATATATATTTTTAAACAAATATTTAAATATTATCACTCTTACGGTAAAATGTAAAAAAAAAACATAAATAATATTTAAATAATTATTTAATTATAATATTTTTAAATATTTAATATTTATCGGGAAATGCAGAAAAATAAATATTCAAAATTATCAATTCTGTTTTTTTTTTTTTTAAATAATTATCTCCGTAAATTAATAATTCAGGGGGTGGAAAAATTAGTAGACAGCTATAAAGCTTTATCCCTAAGAATCAAAGACCATTTATTATAATTCTTTCCGAATGACCAATCATATCGTGCCACGTCATCAGCTAAATTAAAAAGGCCAACCAATGGTTGACCAAAATAACAAGAGTTGACAAACAAAACAGAAATCAACCCTATATTAAAACTCACTCTTCCTCTCTCTCTCTCTCTCTCTCTCTATATATATATATAGTTATGTATGTATGTATATATATACCAGATACAAATCACATATTTATGTGGTAAAGAGGGTGACACCCCAATTGTGAAAATGGGTAAGGTTGTTTTTCCCATCTCGGCCATTCAATTCATCATCTTCTCTCTTCTTCTGCCTTCATCTTCCCTGGTTAAAGTTCAGGGAGACCATATCGATTTCGTAAGAACTCTAAACAAGAAGACTCTCGATCTCCAAAATGAAAAGCTCAGCCATTTTCGAGTTTTCTGGCACGACATTGTTACCGGATCCGACCCGACAGCCATCCAAATCCTTCCTCCAGCAAACAACACGAAATTCTCATTCGGCAAGGCAAGAATGATCGATAATCCCTTAACGTTAAACCCTGAACTGAACTCGACGCTAGTGGGAAGAGCTCAAGGGTTTTACGCTTTCTCTTCGCAGCACGAGATCGGGTTGTTAATGGCGATGAACTTTGCTTTTACAGAAGGGAAATATAACGGGAGTACGATAACGATAATGGGTCGGAACACGATATTTTCAGAGGTGAGAGAGATGCCGGTGATCGGAGGAAGCGGGCTTTTCCGATTTGCGAGAGGGTATGTGGAAGCTAGAACTCATACGATCAATACGACGACGTCTAATGCTATTGTTGAGTATAATTGTTACGTATTGCATTATTGAACGTATAGTTTTTATGTTTTTCTTGAGAATCACGTTTCAAGTGCCTTCCGAGTCATGCTTTGTCTCACTCTTCGTGATAAATGTAGGGTTGGTTGGGATAATTATTTCCGAAACATGGGTTAGGTTCGATATACATACGTATACATATATACATATATGTGTGTATGTATATGTGTATGTATATGTGTATGTATGCATGGGTTAGGCAAGAAATGATTATGATTAGCTATGTGATTTATTTAAATATTCTTTATTGAAAGCTCTTTACTCTATTTGTAGTTGTACTTTACAAGGTATATATATATATATATATATATATATAATTTGATGGATTTATTTGTAACCCAACTCAACTTAGTTTTTCTCTATACGTTATGTTTCAATATATTTTAATAAATCTATTATATTTATTAATAAAAATAATATTCTATATAATTTAAGTTATTTTAATTATTTAACTTAATTTATTTTCTCATTAAGAAAAAATAATAATTCAATTAACGTAGAATTTAAGATGTTATTTAATGAAATGACATATAATGTTTATTTATTTAACATAAATGTAATCTAAACTTTATTATATTTAATTTTTGTTTCATTTTTCACCACCTTAAGTTTATATGTATATATGCGTGTGTATGTACAGATGCATGTATAGGCGTAGATATATATATATATATATATATATAGGAAGTCTCACGACGCGTTTTGACTTTTTTCTTTCTTGGTTTGGTCCTCTTGTTTTATTCTCTCTTGGTGTTGAAATTATTGTATAAGAAAAAAGTGTGTGAATACATTGAATTAATTCAAGATTCTTAATTAGTAAAACAAATTTATATTAATTAAGTTGGTTTTATCAATAAAAAACAATTAAATTTGTATAATTATACATTAAATATAGAAATTCAATGAAAATAAATTTTTTTTGAATAAAATACAACATAAATCTAATATATAACGACAAGAAAATTAAATTATATAGTTTTAGAAAATAAAAAAAAAATATATAATTATTACAAAAATAATAATTAAAAAAAACCCATAATTTTTTAATATCTAGACGGCCGGCTCTCTACATAACCTTATAATACGCAATATATAGTTTATTCGGGTCGTCTACATCCGTTCATATATATGTGTCCATATGTACATAGATTCGCGGTATGTCAAGCCATGTTAAAGTTCTTCGTTTTGTATCGAATTAAACTAACATACTCCACTTTTGCAAACCTCTATCATACGAGATATTTAATATGTTAGTTACGTCACTGCACGGATCGATATGCACAACGACTAGTATTCATCGTTTACTGCTATAATACTATATATATATATATATTATTTATTATAAAAAAAATAGCCTTTGGAATTAAAAAAACTTTAGAAAAAGTGAGTGAAGGTGGTGGTGATGATGATGGTGAGTTTATTATTATGTTTTTATCATATAAAAATGAATTATAATAAAAAAAATGTAAAGTGAAATTGGTATAAATAGTGATAGATACATGCATACCAATAAGAGGGCACCACACCAAAAGGGAGATATGAAGATGAGAATATAAATAATTGAAAGTCATTAATGATTAATTTGGAAGAAATTAATTAATTAATTAATTAATATTATGTAATTAATCATGAAATTAATATATGTGTCATGTAATGTGATCACTATAATTGTATAGAACATTTTGTGTCATGTGATTTTGGTCCCAATCATTTATCTAATCTTACATATATGTATATATGTATATGTATACACACACACACACCATAATTTAATCAATAATTTCTTATGATAATTAGTATTTAAATTTAAAATTTTAAAATGAATTAATTTTTAAGGTATTAAAATGTTATTTAAAATTTTTTATATTAAGAAATTAAAGAAAATTAATTTTTTTAAAAAAATAAAAATATTATTGATCATATTATATTGTAATAAATATTTAATTAGAAACTAATTTTATAATTTCAACTTAAAAATTATTGTTGTGTTGTGAAAATAGAAAAAGTTAAAGTACATGCCAACCCAAAAAAAGAAAAAGATAAGAGGCTAAGCAAAAGATGACATGGACCACTTACATATCTACATACTTTTTCTTTTCTTTATTTTTTTCCCATAAATAATTAATTTAATATGTATAATTTCTTATATATATATATATATATACAGATGCTTATATGTATGAACTATGAGAACCAAACTTTTTCTCTTTCATTTTTTTTAATTAGTATCATAATATAATTTACATGGTCGGTCTGACGTGTCACACTCTTATTGGTTGGAATATTTTATCTCATATTCCTCTTGAAAGCATCCTTATGATGTAAGGAATAAAATTAGATAAAATAAAATTCAAATACTACATTTGTATCGAATCAATAAGATTTAAAATTGAATTGAAAGCGTATCTGAATTAATAGTATAAAAAAATTGCACGTTATGTGAT